ATGGCAGAGCTCAACAACTCCTGGAGCAGGTGCCCTGGAAATTCCCTGGTCTCCAAGTCTTGCTATTCCCCTGAACTGGCCATCTTCTCCCTTAGCCACTCAGACTCAGTCTTGGAGGCAGCTTGGCACAGTAGATGTGTGAGTGGCTTCCTCTTGGGGCCACCTGAGTTCTGATGCAGTAGCATCACCTCTCTCTGTCTCAGGATGCTCATCTGCGGAGTGAAGAAGGCAAACCAACAGCAATACTCTTCCCCCAGGAGCGATGTGTAGACTGGTGACAGGTGCAAGTGACTGTCACACACCAAGTGCCGGCTGCATGCTGTGCTTATCAACCTTGTCTGGGGCCTTAGTTTATGTACAGTTGTCCCTTCAAAGTAGGTCACTGTTGGAGGGAGGGGCACCTGCCTTGTCTTTCCCTGGAGCCCCTCAGGGGACATCTGGCGTGGAACTGAATGCTTGATCATTTTCTTCTGAACACATTCATGTTTTTTCTTCTCCCTGTCCAACTCTGATGCATTCCCAGGGTGCTAGGAAGGTTCACAGAGAACGTGGTCATAGCACAGACAGTAAAACCGAGTGAACTAGACTCGGGAGCCATCAACCATCCCAGAACAGGGCCAGCGATAACTTCCTATCAGGTTAATCTCTCGAAAACCTGGCTGTCCAATCATCTTATTTGACCTTCCCACCTCAGAGATGGAGAACCCTAGGCTCAAAGAGGAATGATGATTGACAACTAGTGGTAAAATCAAGACTTGAACCCAAATCTCTGGACCCTAAGGTATTAGAGCTTTGAAAAGGTATTAAGGGCAGAGTGAAGACCTTGGTACTATGGAGTCTGAACTAACCCAAAATTCCACCTCTGTTCCGTCCTAGCTGTTTGACCTCTAGCAAACTTCTCTGGGCTTTAGTTGTCTCATCTATAAAATTATCATAACTAGAAGCTACCTGGAAGGGCTTTCAAGATTAGCACGTTGGTCATTGCCAAGTGGCTGTCCTTGGTAACAGATACGCCCCCAGGGCTTCCAAGACTGGGTTCTTTTCTGTCCTCTTCCGGTTCTTTTGTTTGTTTGTTTGTTTGTTTTTTCTTGCCACTGTGCTTCCCACGATGCCCAGACCTAGGGCCCAGTCTGGAGCTGACTCTGAGAGCTTTGCTTCTGCTTTTCCATTGGGTTCTCCCCAGGGCCCTACCTCACCCCCACCCAGTTCTATCTAGCCCCAAGCTCCACAAGCTTGCAGCGATTTCTCTCGGCCTGGATTCATGCCCAGTGTGACATGTCTAGTGTGGCCGCACTCCTCCCACGTTGGTCAGGAGGAAGTAAGTGTGTGCAAAGGGGGGTACTGGGGAGTAGGGTGCCACCAGTCCAGGTGCCAAACCAAATAGCTCATGTGTCACATCCAACTCAATACATGGCCCCTGGAATGCAGGCTGGCTGCCTCGCCCCTGCCCGAGTCCCACACTGGACTCCCCCTACCTAGTTCCTGTTCCCTGTGTCTGGTTCTAGCTGGTAGAAGGTAGGACCATCCACAGGGTTCAGCCATGCACGGCTCCAGGAGAACAGAGACACGCCATGTGGAGGTGTCAGAGGTCACGCACTCTGCTGCGCATCTTGCCTGCTCTTAGGAGGGCAGCCCACACTATGGGGAGCATGGAAGAGAGAAGTGACTGTGCCTCCCTGGTGTGCCAGCTTCAGAGAGAAGGCAGGACACTGTCATTTACTCCTTCTCTAGGGAAGGAGCGCCTTGAATGATGGCCATCAAAGGAAGGGGTCCTTCACAGCCTTTGGAATCCCACAGCCAAAGCACCCTTGCATGGGCCTCAACAACTCTACCTTGGATAGCCCCGAAATTCTCCTGCAGGTCTCTTCATCTGCTAGGGCAGTCAGTAAGGAGGGTGAGAAAGATGAAGCCACATGGTAGATGTAACACGTGGAGCTGATGTACAGGTCTGTGACACTGATCTCAGCTACATTTGTCCTCTCAGTCTCTAACAAAACCTGGTCTCACTGTTGCTATCTGATATAGTGGGGAGTGAATTTGATGAGGACCACCTCCCCTGCAATGTCTCAGGGGATCTTTCCTTAACTCCTCTACTTTCCAAAAGCTCAGGATATAACTAACACCCGCCATTCTGAGTCCTTGTGTTATGTCCTTCCTCCTCACCCTCCCCTACACACGCATGCACATGCATGTTAATGTACATATGCATATACAGGCATGATTGCACATGCACACACAAGCCCCTGCACCCTGGAGACAGAATGAACAACCTCTGGTTTATCTGGGCTGCTGATCACCTCGGTTAAGCCAGGGCTCACGTTATATTTAGCATTTCTCCAGCACGTTCTGCATGAGTTCCACCATGTGCCAAGCTCTTGGTGACAAGATCCTCCTACCATGATGTCAAAGCCAGAGGACTGGTGTCGGTGTGACTTCTCCCCTCCCCCTACTCCCACGGTCATCTGGGGCTAATGCCGATGGCAGCGACAACAGAAGGCACTGTTCCAAGTCCCTCCTGTACCTTGAACTCATCTCTTGCCGTGCCCTTGAGATGAGTGGATGCCAACGCTGCCATGGTTGTGTGGATAAGGAAAAACAGGATGGAGGTTGAGTAATCTACCCAGGCCTTCCAGGAAGCCCACAGAGGAGCTGAGAGTGCTGAAGTTTTCAGAGTCCATCGATTTCTTCTTTCACTGCTGTCCCTGCCTATCCTCTGGCCACCGTCACTCTCGGCTGCCTGGCTTCCCCCCCCCTCAGTCCCCATCACTGCTGCAAAGGGGGACTTTACAAAAACTTAAACTTACTCACTGCTGTCCTGCTCAAAGTCCTTCTGCAGCTCCCTTCTATCAACGTCATGGCTTCCTTAACTAAGGGACAGTCCCTTGTCAGACGGTATCATTTGCTAACTTCAGTTCTTCCTCCACCGCTGTCCTGCCTACCAATCACACACACATACACACACATGCATGCACGCACACATACACACACATACACACAATGCATGCATGCACACATACACACACATGCATGCACGCACACATACACACTCGCACACACATACACACACACACAGTTCAGCCAAACTCCCTAGTGCTCACTCAGTTTCTTCTGCTTTACCTCTCCACCCTGGACCCTGTGGTCCCTCTGTCCATCATGTCCTTCTCTGCTCATTACATGACTGACCTTTCCCGATCTTCAAGACCTAATACAAATTTTGTTGACTTAGTCGAGCCTCGGAAATATGTTGGACAAACCGATAACTGGATGGGTGAGCATTGTCACAGCTGTGTGCAGCCTTCTAGTTCTCTTACCCCTCTCAAAAAAAGTCTATGTGTTCTTTTCAGGAAAGTCCTTGGAGGTGAGCAGGGTACGACCACTTTTAAGATGGAGACACTGAGGCATGTGGCCAAGATCAGAGGCAGGGGCTGAAGCCAAGCTTTCTCTGGCAGGCTGGTGATCTCAGGATCGCAAGAGGTAGGACCTACTGCCATGATTTCTGCCCTTATCTGCCTAAGCAGAGGGTTGCGATGGGGCTGGAGTGAACGCTCTGGTCCCACAAGCTCTCAGAATGTATGAGCAAAACTGTGTGTCTAACTAAAAATGCCAGGCCTGCTCTGAAAACAAGACCTTCATAGACCTTCAGTAAAAGGTGTGACTCACTTTTTTTTTAATTAATGATTTAACTTCAAAATAAGTCCGAGTTTTTCCTATGAGTCTGCTTGATGCTTTGATTGAAATGTCAACCCTCTCCCACCCCATCCACCACCTCTTATTTTTGGCTCTCCCGGCTCTTTGCTGGTGCCCTAAGCAAATGTTTAGTCTGCCGGCAAGACAGCACGCAAGGCTCTCCTGGCTCTTGTCTGCCGACCTTGGCCTCCCGGAGCATGCTACCTACCCATCCTGCTGGATGGAGGGAGAGGGCGCTGGGGCCAGAGGCCTAGACGCTTTGGGATGGAGGCCAGACAGATGGACAGCAAGAGGAGGGAAGTTAGTTACTGCCACCCAGGCCACTCAGTCAACAAAAGCAGTTATACACAGGTAGCCAACGTGGGAAAAACCCAAACTGTGGTGGCTGTGGCTAGCTGGTCGGAGACCTTCTATTTAAAGGTGGAGTCCAGAGAAAAGCCACTTTCCCTGTCTCCCTCCTTCTGCTCAAGGACAATGAAAACCGGTTAAGACTGTCTGACCTCCACATCCAGGCTCTGGGCAGGGCCACGGCAGAACCTACATCCAAGGATACGACAATCTTGTCCTATACATTCATTGCACAGGCCTAGGTTCCTACAGGTTAAATGTCATGCCTACCTGAGTCCCATCCCCCAACCATGATTTTCCCAAAATACATATTCACCCCACTGGATGGAGATAGGTGCAACCAAAACTTCACCTGGCTTCTGTAAGCAGGTGTGAGGCACCTACCATGTTCCCGGCCCTGTGCTGGGCGCAGCATCCATACAACACAACAGGTGGACAAGACCAGCTCCCCTCAACCCTAGCACCTGTTACCACTCTCATGGGCAGGCTTGGCTCTGTTGCCATGATTCCCCTGGTGGGGTAAAAGAGGAACTGCAGGGCTCCTTGGAGAGCAGGCTTTATCCTGGGTGGCCCAGAGTCTATGATCACAGTCCCCTCTCCCCACTAAGGAAGGAAGTAGGCATCTGAATCTGACTCCCTCCTCCTACTGAGCTCCAGGGCAAAAGTCAGCTAAGAGGAGGAGACAGCCCCTTCCTGATGAATCTTTGGGACAGTAGTCTCCACCCCACATCCCAGCTCCCTTGGCAGAATGCCAGTGGCCTCAGGACTGGCTGTCCTGGTGGCCCTACCTGGGGCCAGTCCTGCAAACACGCAAGGGTCATAGACACACACAAGATGACAAAACCCTCAGGAATTCAGAGCCAGAAGCTTCATCTGGACTCATGTGTGGGCATCAAGGGAAGGGAAACCAAGGCAGGGCCTGGGTTGTGCCCCAGATCCAGGAAGGAGGGCCCTCAGTGACTCACAGCGACTGCAGGCTGGGCAGCTCCCACAATGCCTCTGCCGGGATCCCTCGGAGCTGGTTGCTCTGCAGCATCCTGAAGAGGAGACAGAGGTCAGTTCAGAGTCACTGGGGACTGAGTGGAGTGGGATGAGGACTCCTCCTTTGAAATACCCCCTCTTCTCCTGCTTCAGAGTCCAGGGTTTTGAGGTGTAGCCTCCTGTCCTGTTATGGGGAATGGGGTATTGTTGAGGTACAAGGAGGATTGGAAGGCCCAGCATAAGAGAGGGAGAGGTGCCTCAGGAGGGCTTGTGAGACATGGCAGGAGGCAAAAGGGAGAGGAAGAGAAAGGAGAGCAAGCAGAGGCACAGACATTTAATCCAGTATGAGGGAGGCAGAGAGAAGTTTAAAGACGGCGATAATATTGAGTTCCAGGGTCGCCTAGGCTACAGTGGGAAAGGATCTCAAAAAGAGAGGAGAGAAGAGAAAGGTGGGATTCTGCTGAAATCTGTCCAGCAAGTGTTGCTGTTCAGGCCTCAGCTTCCCTCTCTATTCAGCTGAGCTGCTAAGGGTTTCTTTGTGAGGGAGGAAGACATGGATGAAGGTAAGACTGTGCCTCAAATATCAGGGCATCAGGAAAACATGCCTTCTGGAGTCCTTGTCTGCAGAAGAAAAGTGACATGTCCCCGTCATCAGCCTGCTGTGGGGGCTTCATCTCACATAACCACACACAAAGCAGCTGTTCTCGAGGCTGCTGGCCTAAAACAGCACCGGCCACAAAACCCAGGAAGGCACCACAGGCAGAAACCACAAAGCTCCTGGGGACCTAGAAACCTATGAGCAGGGAAGAGAGTGGGGAACAGAAAACGGGCAACTCTACAAGGGGGTGCTGCTGACTCTAGGAGAATCCGGGCAAAACAGGGACTTTAACTAAGCTGGGCAGGGCATCTGAAGGTTCAGGGAGCCCTCTGCACAACACTTATGCTTGCTTAGTTCGAAGGAAAAAACTGAGTACAGAAAAGGGAAGGAGGAAAAGTAAGTAAATGTGTGAATAAAAGACAGTCTGGAGAGATGGTTCCGTAGTTACGAGCAGTAGCTTCTCTTCCAGGGGGTTCCATTCCCAGCACCCACATGGTAGTTAACAGCTGTCTGGAACACCAATTCCAGGCACCTGGCACCTCTTCTGGACTTCATGAGTACTGCACACGCATGGTATGAAAACATCCATGTGGACAAAACACCCATACACACAAAATTAAATGAATACGTTAAGAAAAGGAAATACTAGGCCGGGCGATGGTGGCGCACGCCTTTAATCCCAGCACTCGGGAGGCAGAGGCAGGCGGATCTCTGTGAGTTCGAGACCAGCCTGGTCTACAGAGCTAGTTCCAGGACAGGCTCCAAAGCCACAGAGAAACCCTGTCTCGAAAAATCAAAAAAAAAAAAAAAAAAGGAAATACAAAGGAGACCTTGGACAGCAGTTGTCACCAGAGCATTGTGTGTGTGCATGGGTGTGCATTGTGTGTGTAAGCAAATGTGTGTGTGCACGCGTGTGTGCACGCATGTGTGTGTCCCCATGTGTTTATGTATACGGGTGCTTATGTATTTGGAGGTTGTAGGACAGCTTCAGGTGTCATCCCTAAGGAGCTGCCCCCCTTGTTTGCTGACCCCTTCTCCCACCAGCCTAGAGCTCACCAATAGGCTAAGCTAGGTAGTTAGAAAGTCCCAGGGATTCACTTCTTTCTGACCCCTTCCCCCAGCTGGGGTAACAAGCTCAAGGGTGTAGCTCAGCACATGGATTCTAGGGATTTAACCAAGTCCTTTCAGTTTACCAGCTGAACCATCTTTCCTGCCCCATGGGCAGTTTTCATCTCTAGACTCTAGATCCAGACATGAGCCTGTGTCTTTGTTGGTCACGGGGATCAAACAAAACAGTCCCTGCAAAGCACTCACTTTGCAGCAATGTCTTACAGACAGAATTCACAGCACCCAAGCCAATATAATCAATTATTGCTATTACTATCTGGTCACCATGACTTACCAGTTGATTCAAGAAAGTCACTTCCCCTCTCTGAGCTTCAATTTCCTCCTCATTCAAATGAAGAGACTTACAGAAGGCATATAAGAATTTGTGGGAAGGGCTGGTGATAGACCTCATTGGCAGAGGACTTTCCTAGCATGCCCAAGGCCCTGGCTCTACCCCAGTGATCCAGATGACAGTGGTGATGATAATGATGGCGATGAGGACAATAGTGATGACAGATGAGACGTAGCTCAAGTAGTAAACTCTTGCTTAGCATGCGTGAGACCTTGGGTTTGATCTCCAACACCACAAACACTTCCCTCAACGATAGAACTAGAAATGCAATCTCACACGACTACACAGAACAAAATAACAAGGCAGCCGGGGAAATGATTGCCTGGTGTAGCTCCTCTCCTGGAACTGGGGCCCAGACACCAGTCCTGAAGATGGCTCCACAGCCAGAGCTCCAGAGTTCTGGAAAGCCTCTGATCTGACCAAGAGGTGAGGGAGCTAGTAGAAGGAGTTCCTACCTGCCTGCTGTAGGGACTGCTGTCTCTCCCACCTCCTTCTAAGCCATGAGTACCTCTTGGCTCTGATCTCCACCAGATGCCGTGTTTCTCATGATTCCCACACATGCTTGGACCACGGATACATGAGAAACTATGGTTGACTAAGCAGTGGTCACAGTTGCTCGTAATCTCTCCATGGTCTCCAAAGCTGTATCTTGTCACTGCACAGGTGAGCTGCACCTCCAACGAGCCCCAATGCATCTGCACAGACGTCACCCCCAATGCATCTGCACTGATGTCACCTCCTGCTCATACCTTTCTTTCTGCTGAGTCCTAGACAATGAGATCGAGAAAGATCTTTTTGTATTTGTGTGGTGTGCATGTGGTGTCTGTGTGTGTGCCTGTGTGTGTGTGTGTGTGTCTCTCTCTCTCTCTCTCTCTGTGTGTGTGTGTGTGTGTGTGTGTGTGTACATACAGAGGTCAGAAGAAAACTCCCAGGAGTTGGTTCTTTCCCTCCAGCATGCAGATCCTGGAGGTGGCAGGTACCTTTACTCACTGAGCCATCTCACTGGCCCTAGAAAGGTCTTTGGAGTCTCCATGTTGTGCCTCCCCAGCACAGTCTGCAGCACCTCTGTGACTACACTGAACTCTCCTTCCTTCCAGCGTCGGGGGCTCAGTGTCTTCCCAAACAACTCAAGCTGGGCCAGACAGTCTGGCTTTTTTTCGTGACTCAATACCCAGCAAGCTAGAGTGTAGCGTGGTCACAGGTGTTGGGTCTGGCCCGCTTCCCTTGCTGTCCCCAGCCTCCTTTCCCAACACTACTGCATGGAAGCACAGTTGGGTCAGAAGGGGCAGAAAGACTGTCAGGAGGGAGCAACCCTTTATTCTCCAGGGCGAGACAATGGAGGCTGAGAGAAGGGAGGTGATTTCCCCAGAGTTACAAATCAAAATGACAGCATGAGGTCCAGGCTCCAAGTCCCACTCCAGACCAGTGCTTCGGTGCCCTCTGTCTAGCCATTGTTGTGTCTGGTGAGGCAAAGTGGATTGAACCCTTTGCTCTCCACCCTACATGCACATTAGAATCACCTAGGAAATGCTCATGCCACAGACCAATCCACTTGAGCTTCTGGGGCTCTTGCTGTAAAAGACATGGCTTCATTTATTTTCAAGCTCCAGGTTGAGTCCAATGCACCAACAGGTGGAAGTCTGGTCCTCAGCAACTCTCCCCCAACTTATGTACAAAAAGCATGCTCAAAATCTTTCTCTTGCCAGAAAAGCATCTGGGAACAGAAACCATGAATTTCAGAGACCCAGGGGGCCAAGTAGCAGAGAATCAACACTGTCCCCCTACCATAATTCTCCGAAAGGCTCTTCCTGTGAACCTGGTGCCACTGGGTGCCACCGTGCAGATGAGTGAGGCACGGGCTGGAGCTCACCCACCCTCTGCACCCTGTAGAGAAGGTCCTTCCTCTTCAGTTTTATGTATTCATGTTTCTGGATAAAGTGAGATTTTGTTTTGTTCTTCCCCACGCAGGAATCGAATCCAGGGCCTTGTGCACTGCTACTGATTATTTTAAATGTCTATGAGTGTTTTCTGCATTTCATCTGTATTTTAATAAATAAAGCTTGCCTGAGGATCAGAGAAGTAAGTAAAGCAGACGCATTGGCCAGCCTTACAGACCAGGCAGCAATAACACACACTTTTAATCCCAGTAGCCACACTAGTTTGCCATAGAAACCAGGCAGTAGTGGTGCACACTACTAATTCCAGCCCTAAAGAGGAATATGAAACAAGAGGAGACAGCTCACAGACACAGTTTCATTCTGAGATTCCTGGAGGCAAGATCGCCATTTCAGACTGAGATAGAGGTAAGGGCCAGTGGCTGGCTGCTTTGCTTTTCTGACCTTCAGGTTGAACCCCAATTTCTGTCTCCGAGCTTTTATTAATTGTGGATGCATGTACATACATGCCTGGTACCTGAGGAGGCCAGGAGAGGATGCTGGAACTGCTGAAACTGGAGTTATTAGGGCGGTTGTGAGCTGCCATGTGTGTGCTCGAAACTGAGCCTCGGTCCTCCGCAAGAGCAGCATGTGCTCTTAACCTCTGATCCATCGCTCCAGCCCCAGGGCTTGGTTCTTTAAAGCTAGTCTTTACATATAGCCCAGCCTGGCTTTGAACTCCATGACCCTGTATCTCAGCCTCCTTGAGGCTGGGGTACAAGTATGCACCATTACCACTGGCCAGTGTTTGGGGTTAGGATGATTTCAATTCTGCAACTAAAAATACTGAGGAATTCATCCAACTTCCTCACTTTAAAACGAAGAAAACTTCTTAGAGAGCAGAAATCTAGACATTTTCCCTGCTGCCCACCTTATGGTAAAGCCTTGAGTCTGGCCTCAAGTCTCTCTGCTGCCAAGAAGCCCCACTTCCTGGCATCCAATCCTTTTGGGGGGGGGGTTGACCTTTCGCTGAAGAACAGCTTAGGGGATCTCCCTGGGTTCCTTGCAGTCTTCTCAAAAGTCAGCACCCCCAATCACAAGTCCCTCTCAGGTCAGCTCCATTCAATTAACAAGTGCCGTGGGAGAGGAAACAGTGAATATCCACCTGAGACAGTCCGTGTGGTGAGGAAGAGGGCCGCAATTGATGCTGCACTGGCTTTCCTCTGGCTGGGCCTGAGATCTAACTCCTCTGTGCTCCTCTCTGCCTCCGGCAAGCTTTAGATGAATGGGCAAAGATCAGAAGCAGAGAACAGCTTCTAGAACCCGAGTCTTTACTAAAGAGGGCACTGGCTAAGAATCCTCAGTCACAAACTCTGGGCTCTCTGCAGGAGCAGAGCTTCCTAAGAAAACCTCCTGCCCAGGTTCCTAAAGGCAGAGAGCAGAGGCAAGCCCCTGAGCCTCCTCCTCGCCTGTCACTCAAACCTGGGCCTGATGTGAGGTAGTTAAGGCCCAGTTGTGTTGTTCTAGATGGAACCACATCAACCTGAAACAGGGCAGCAGCTGGTCCTATGGTCTGCAGAGGACGGGCAGGGACAAGGCTAGACCACGCTCGTTTTCTAAGGACGACCACTTTTGAGGGAAGGTAGTGTAGGGAAACCCAACACATACTCATACCCCCTTGAGCTGGGACCAGGATCCAGGAGCCCCTCCCACAGCTGTTCTATGCCTGGCAAAGGCACAGCAGGCATAACATCCAGAGGTCCCTGTCTGGGGCAGCAGGAGTATAGTTGCCCTTAGGGCAGCTCTGTGAATTTAGCGTCTGGGCCCCACAGACTGATGCAAGCTTAGACTTTCCTGCACAGCCTAGCACTCTTGATCAGGCCTGCGCTAAGCTCTGAGCTTGAGGACTTGGGGAACCCTCAGAGGAGAGGGGGTCGCCTGGGAGGACTCTAGGAAGGGGGAGGGATCCCTTCCAGGATGACAAGGGGGCAGAGCATCCATCGTGTCATCCTGTCCATTGTCCCCATTTCCGCTCAGCCTGGCCAGGACTCAGAGAACAGAAGCCGCAGCCTTGGGAAGGGTCCGAAGGTAGAAAGGTACAGTCCCCTTATACAGAGGGAAGCTCTTACGCTGAGCGTGGGGTGGGCTCTGCTGCTCTAGTTTTCTGACAGGTGTGAGAGACAAGGACCTGCAACCAGTGAAGGAGACACTGGATGTCAGGAAGGACTTTGTACCCAGGACACACATGGACTCTCCTGCTCTGAAACACTGGGGCAGAAGGGTGGGGTCCCCCACTATCCCTGAACAAGAAATTCTGCAAGCACACAAGGCTTTAGGGATAGGTGGTCTTCAAAGATGGAGCAAAATGGGGGTCACTGGCAGAGTGGGGGTGAGCAGCATGGCTGTCCTGGCTCCCACCCTCAGCTTTTGGCCAACCTGCTCACTGGCGCCGCTGGTTGGAAGGGGGCGGGCAGGCTGCGGTTTCTTTCAGGCTTTGATTTATTGCCTAATGCAGGCAGAGAAGAAAGAGGAGGCTCATCTCTAAGCCAGAGCCTTAGGAACGGGACGTGAGCCTCACATCTTCTGAAGACCCAGCAAACAGAACCCTGCTCTCTAATCCGACTGCAGGTCTGAACCTGCCACTGGGCACATTTATGCCACCAAGCAGGCCGCCTGCGCTGCGCGGCGCTGTGGGTTCGAGATGCCTCCTCCCCCACTCCCACCCACCCCCGCCCCGTGCACCCTGGGCAACTATAGGGAGTGAGACAGAGAAAGCAGGAAGAACTGAGAAGCTGTTGACAGAGAGGCAGATAGAGCACACGGGGATGGGGGGACCAAGGATATTGGGGAGCCATAGTAAGGCAGAGCGAAGATAAAATGTGCAGGCGCCTTGGAGTCCTGGAGTCTGAGATTTAGCGACAGATAAGAGAGCGGAGCTGGGGATACCGGACGCAGAAAGTGCTCAGATACAGACTGATGACCATCCGGAAGCAGGGAGCCCCAGAGGAAGGACCACTGTCAGCCCATGAGCCTCAAAACAAGAAAGAGATCTGCCTTTGGGTGGGTACCATACCGAACCCAGACCCAGAACTGATGTTCAGGGCCTCTCTCCTCCGCAGGATGCTTTTGTGAAGCCAGTGAGCTGTGCGACTGCGCAAAGAGCTGCAAGTAGAGTTGGAGCCAAATGGCAGAACTGGAAAGCAGCGCTCCGCCCTGGAGAAGCCCCAGGCGCTAACACGTCGCTTTAGGATCAGCCCTTCCAATGCACATCTTCCCACACTGGTCCCTGGGATGCTGTGCCCTCTCCAGGATCTCCATCTGCCTTCAGCTCTTTTTCCACTTCTTCCCATCTCCTCCCACCTTTACTTCGCCCCGTGGAAAGATGGACTTAGCTAGGCCAAGGTGCACCATGGGTTGGAGTGGGAGGAAAGAATTTTCTTCTCTACTGCAGGCTGACAGCTCACTAGCAATAAGAACTAAGTGAGAAAACGCCAGGTCCTCTCCCAACTTTGTGCTCCTTTTGCTCCCGAGAAAGTATGAAGGAGCTAGAGGAGGCAGCCTGACTTGAAGGAGATTCCTTCACAGTGACTGTGAGAGCTTAGAGCTGGACGCACAGAGGCTAAGGAAAAACATGGAAGAAGAAGAAAAGGCGGCATGTAATCCCAGCAGTTCAGAGCATCAGACAGAAAGGGCTATCCTGAGTGAGCGAAACCTCTCAAGAAAGAAAGAAAGAAAGAAAGAAAGAAAGAAAGAAAGGAAGGAAGGAAGGAAGGAAGGAAGGAAGGAAGGAAGGAAGGAAGGAAGGAAGAGAAGGAAGAGAAGGAAGGAAAAAGGAAGGAAGGGAGAAGAAAAGAAAGAAGGAAAGCTAGACGTGGTAGACGTGGTAGCTCACACTTGTAAGCTTAACACTCAGGAGGCAGAGGCAGAGGGAATCATTGCAAATTTGAGACTTCCTGGTCTACATATCAAGTTGCTGAGTTGCAGGTCAGCAGGTCTACATAGAAAGATCCTGTCCCAAAAAAAAACACAGAACAAAAACCAGAACAAAATAAAGTCAATCAAAAACTGAAGGATGGGAAGGGTAGTGGGGAAGGAGACATGCGCCAAGTATGACGTGTATAGACGGAAACCTCATAGTGTATGCTGCTTTCCCACCTGAGCATGGCATGAGGCAGCACCTTAGTCGGGAAGTTTACGTGATTTTAACACAAAGAAAAGCAAAAATAAGGCCCATTATCATGTATACTAACTTAAACAAAACAAAACTGAACTGAACTAAAAAGTACTGGGTTTAAAAATAAAGTTTTTAAACTGTATAGCTGAGAATGGCCTTGAACTTGCATACACCTGTTCAAGCTGTTCATGGCTGAGCAGATGCACGTGTGTGGCTTCGTGTGCACACAGAGATCGAAGACAGCAGATGTCGTTCTTCAGGAACCAACCACCTTGCTTTTTTCTGTCTTTCTTCTTTTATTTTTTGGGTTTTGTTTGTTTGGTTGGTTTGGTTTGGTTTGGTTTTTTTGAACAAGGTCTCTCACTGGGACCTGGGGTTCACCAATGAAGTTAAGTGGGCTAGCATCTGAGCCCCGGAGGGGTGGAGGTTGTCCTCCTGTCTCAGCCTAGGATTATAAGCCCAAGCCATCATACTTGGCTTTTTTTTTTCATACTTGGCTTTTTAAGAGGGTTCTAGGGCTTCAACTCAAGTCTGCATGGCAAGCACTTCAACGACAAAGCAGCCTGGCCCCCTGGACTTCCTGCTCATCCCGAGTTCTGGGATTACAGGCATGCACTATCATGCCTGATTTCTGCAGTGCTGGAGACCTAACCCAGAACCTCACTGATGTTAAGCAAACACTCGACCAGCTGAACTATATCCCCAGTCCTCAAAATTGAAGCAAAGGACCAGTGAGGTGGCTCAGTGCGTACGCTGCCAGGCCTAATGGGTGCGTACACTGCCAGGCCTGATGGGTGGGTACGCTGCCAGGCCTGATGGGTGAATTCTGTCCTTGGGACCCACATGGTAGAAGGAGAGAATCAACTCCAAAGTTGTCCTCGGGCCTCAACATTCATGTGACTCCACACACACACACATAAATAAATGATAAAAGATAAAACAAACCTCAACTGAAACTACCGTGATCACCATTCATAAACAAAGACGCCTCCTCCCCGAAGGCCTGCCAGGCACTTGAGGCTCCTCTTAATCTTGTTTACAAATCAGATGAAGGAAGCAAAGAAATGAAAATAACGAGTGGAATGAAAAGTGGAGACAAGGAAACGAGGAGCAAAGCCAGACTCGAGAGTGACGAAACCCCCGGACCGCCATCCGCGGTGCCACGCATTGAGTGAAAAGGGTTAGCCTCTACTTACAGAATCTTCAGGCTGTGGAGGCCGGAGAACGCCTGTCCCGGGATGTGTGAGAGATGGTTCCCGGAGAGGCGCCTGGAACCAAAGACAGAGGTCAGGGGTGTTGCCAGGTAATCCGCGAAGGGGGTGAGCCAAGCGTACAGGAGAATGGTGGCAGTGTGTGCCATTTACTGAGCCCTGCGGTTCACTGTACACCTCACAGGCATGAGCTCCAGTTTCACAGCTAATCCGGGGAAATGCAGGGTACAGTGAGTATCCCCTGTTTGAAATGCTCGGAGTCAGGCGTGTTTGGCGCTGAGAGTCTTTCAGATTTCCAAATATTTGCATCTAGATAATGAGCTGTCTGGGGTATGAGTCCAAGTTTAAACAGAAATCCACTTGATTTTACATTTATTTATTTGGTGTGTGTGTCTGTGGGTGGATATGCGCCGTGACCCACATGCGCTAGTCAAATGAGGACCTAAGCTTCTTTCCGTACGCCATGTGGGTCTCTGCGGACCAAACTTAGGTTGTCTGGCTTGGTGGTTAAGTGCCATTACTCCCTGAGCATCTCACCAACTAAACCAAACATGTGATTGTTTTATAAACATGGAATCTGAAGGTAGTTTTATGCAATATTGTCTTGTTTGGAGGGGGCAGGATGCTAAAGATGAAGGCTGGTACCTCAAACGTGATGAGTTATTACCCCAACACTAAACTGCAACCCTTGACTCCTACAATGATTTCAGTGCTGTGCATTTGATTCAAACATGCCACATGAGGTCAGATGCAGCGCTGCCCACTGTGGTGACCTATCAGTGCAGAAAAAGTTTCAGATTTTAAATTTAGGTATGGTAGTACACACCTGTAATCCAAGTACTGAGGCAGGAAGATTATGAATTCAAAGCCAGCCTTGGCTACATTTAGGATTCTAGTCTAGCCTGGGCAACATAATGAGACCCTGTCCCCCCTCCCCTCCAAAAAAAATTCCAGATCTCAGATTTTTTGATTGAGAATGCTCAACCTGTATTAACCCTCAAATTAAAAAAAAAAAAAAGCTGTGATTTGGTTTGTGTGTGTGTGTTTTGTTGTTGTCTGGGTTTTTGCTGTTGTTTTTAGACAGAGCCTCACTAGGTAGTCTAGGATAACCTAGTATTCACAATCCTCTGTCTCAGCCTCCCCTGTGCTAGAACTGGAGGTACGTATCACCACCCCCACTTTAGAAGCCAGTGTTAAAAGTGTTAACCCATGGGTGAGGATATACCTCCGTAACAGCTAGTGTCTCCGAGGCCCAGAGTCTCCACTGTTGAGGGGGACTCTGCCTCTAGTCTCTTTATTTGATATTTGTTGCTTTAAAAGGAGACACTTGGGTCTGCACACTTGGGCCTAGGTGGCAGATTGCTCCTTCAGGTAGGGCCTTTAACACGGGTCCAGCCCTTCTCAGAGTGGGAGACAGAAAGTCTCCCTCGCCAAATGGCCTTAGCTCTCCTTTGCATCTCTTCCAAGCTGTTCACAGCCACCTCAGCATGGCCTCTGCTGCCCTGAAAAACTGGCTTGCCTGCCCACCACTTGCCCCATCCACCCGGAGCATTGCCTCCCGCAGAGACGGCTTGGTATTAGGGATGATTTCCTGGGAAAGGCAGGGTCATGAGTGAAAGCCAGGGCCCAGAGAGATGGTTCAGTGGTTAAGAACACTGCCTGGTTTTCCCAGCACCCACATGGCAGCTCACACAACCATCTGTAACTTCAGTTTTAAGGGATCTGATGTCCTCTTCTGTCTCCTGGGCAACAGGCATGCATGTGGTACACAAGACATACATGAACCCATACACATAAAATTGAAAAAAAATTATTAAAAGAGGGAAAATCTCTGCTGGGTATGGTGACTCATGCCCACAGGAGCCTAAGGCAGGAAATTCAGCCCTCAGGAGCCTAAGGCAGGATAATGGCAAGTTCAAGACCAGTCTGAGCTACAGTAGTGAAATTCAGGCCACCCTGAGCTATACAGTGAGACCCTGTCTTTGGGGGATGGGAATAGTGCAGGAGAAAGAACTCCAGAGAGCTTTGAATCAGACTCTGGTGCCACATGGCTTGACACAGGTCCTCTTGGGAGTCCTCCACATAGCTGTCTTAATCCAATACCTGTTCCCCAAGCTCCACTTTCTCCCTTGAGCTCCTCCTTTCTCTGGGGAGCCCTGGTCCCTACAACTGCTGACCACAGAGCTCCTCCACCCACGCACCCTCCACCCCACCCACATCCCACTCTCACCCAACCATCAACTCACAGCTCCTCCAGGAAGCGCAGGTGGCGGAAGAGACCGGGCTGAAGCTCCGTGAGGTTGTTCATACTGAGGTCTCTGAGTGGAGAGAAAATGGAAAGGAGACTGAGTATCGCCTGTACCAGCTGTGATGTTTAGCTCCAGGCCTGTTTGGGGGACCCCTGGACCTCTGTTCCTCCACCTTCCCTCCATGCCATCCTGACCCCACAGGCTGTCTGGCAACAACAGCCACATGCAACTTCAGGAGCCAAAAAGTCGTCAGTTTCTGGTCTCTTCTCACTGCCCCCTCTGATTTTCATGCTTCCTTCGGCAGGTTCTCCAGGGACTAGCTATGGTTAGCCAGTAAACCCAGCTCCCCATTAAGGGAGGAGCCAGGGGGGATAAAAAAAAAAGGAGCATAGAATTTCACATCAGGAAGGCAAGGTCCCTAGCATAAACAAAGTCTTCACTCTTAGACTCGTGGTCCCTACCCATGCTGCAGACTTTAAGATTCCTGCACCCGGATTCTTCCCCAGCCAGGTGTGTTGTACTGTTAGTAGTGGTGGGCTTCACTGCCTGCTGAGGTCTCTGCCCACCTCCTTCTGGCTCTGCTTTCCCGGACCTCTTGGCACTTCCCAGAAGATGCCCAGGTACTGAGTAGCTGGATGTGCAGAGCTGGTGTCTATGTGCATACACCCTCTAACTCATCCTATATTGCCTTTATCATCCAGAAGAACTTGTGTTACCGTTCCCTGAGATGCCCCCCCCACAAAACCATCACTATGATTACATCACCATTACTGAAGACCCAGCTTACTACCGGGCACTGACTAGCCTTTATCCAAATAATCCCATTAATCCTGACCATAATCCTGGGAGAGCTGCTATGTTACATTCAGGAAAACAAAAAGGGGCCAGCGACCTGTCTCTGTGGGTAAGGGGACCTGCTGCCAAGGCTGCCAACCCAGGTTCATCCCCTAGAATCCACATGGTGGAAGGAGGGAACCAACTCCCAAGCTTAATTCTATGACCTCCAGACACTCCCCACCTCCCAATGCCCGCAAAATTTAAAGAGTTAAACTTTTTCAAATTAAAAAAATAAATTAAAAAATAAATTAAAAGAGAATTAAGTGGAGTCAGAGAGCCCCCAAATCAAATGTCTCCTCTAGGTACCAATCTTGACCACTACAATCCTCCATTTCCTCATCCCTTAAAAAATAAAATTAAGTAGGTAAGGTCTTTGTGAGGATTAAGTGTGTTAATGTTTACAGACTGCTGGGTAAATAGTACAAACTTAATAGCTATTTCCCCTCCTCCCTCCACCTTCCCCTTGGTATCATATGTGCAGGAACCTCAGCTCTACAGACCTGTAAGTGGAGAGCCAACGGCTGGGTTTCTGGGTGCTGCCCAACGTGTGTGTGCCCGAGTGAGCAGCAGTGTCTGAGGTTGCAGGCACACGCCTGACACATTTGGGCTCCATCCTGTCCCAAACCCCTCGCAGCTGATTCTTGCTTCTGTGTGGCTCCCCGGGGCTGCACCGGTGGGGCCGCATCACCGAGCAGCACAGGTCTTTCTGCAGCTTTCCCCTGTGCCCAGGAGTACAAGTCACCCTCAAACCTTCCTGCTTCTGTGTGACCAGAAACATGTTTGATTTCCTGCTCAGAGAGGCAGGCTGGGAATGGTGGGGAACATGTGTCCAGAAAGCCCAGCTCTGGGCTATAAAAAGACTGTTTAGTCTCAAATGTTTTATCTTTGATAAAGTTCGGGCGCTGGCTCCATGTCTTCCAAGGAAGGAGGACATTCCACGCAGGGTAAAGCCAAGAAAACTGGCATGCACTGCACGGGCTGCTCTTGTCTGTCCTCCCTCCCCACTCTCCTGTGGAAATAGAGGGGCCATCTGCTGCCCTGTGGGGCTAGAACCAGCTCAGCTGAGACTGCAGCTGGCACGCGGGTCACAGTGAAGACAGGGGCCAGAGAAATGAAGAGGGATGTTTGGTGGATGTCAGCCTGGGTTCAACCCGCATGATGCCACAGAGGCAATGTTCACAGAGGCCCAGGCTACAGTCTTGAGTCTACCTGGATTCCTCTCTCTAATCCCAGGCCTGGCTCATCCTCAGGAAGGAGGAGGTGCAAGATGCCACAAAAAAACCACGATTACCTCTAAATATTTACCCTGTGCATTTCTGGATGTGTCCTGACAGGCAGGGGAGCGGGAGTTCAAGGAGCACACAGGGCATGTGACTCAGGCCTCATCACTCAGCTGTCCCCCCAGGGGCCGCACTCAGAGGCTCTGATGCAGCTCCATGCCCCCCTCCCACTCCCTCCACCTCACCACCAAGGCCAGCGGCTTCATTGTTCTCCCCTGGGGAGGAGGGGGCTGCACCCACCTCCACCCTCACCTCCCCACATCCTGCCCCAGACAAGCACCCAGCTTGTCTACCAGCCCAGCTGCTGTAGAGGGGCCGGGTGGGGCTGGAGGGTGGATTTCAAATGATGTCTGGTGGGGGAGTCCCTTTCAGCCTGCTCTCACAAGAGGGAGAGGGGTGAGGCTGTGCCAGGAGAAGGGGAAGGCAAAGGAACGCAAGGATTGGAGAAGGGAGGCCAAGCAGAGAATCCGAAGGCCACATCATCCACACTGACACCATAGTGCAAAATGATAGTGGCGGACCCTTCAGGGAACAAAGGGGATGACAACACAGAGGCTGTCCTGTCAAGTCTGTAGCTCTGACCCATGACTGTCCTAGGAGACCAACTGTGCAACCCATAGGACACAGCTCTGACATTTCCATCATGTCTTGGCTTGTGGGAAATTGGAGGACGCTTGGACCCTTGGGTGCTGGAGGTTTGTTTGTGGCTGTGTTGGCATGTCCACATGTTTCTGAGATATGGGAGTGTCTGAATGTGCTATGTTGTCTTTCAGAGTCCTGGACATCCATGTGACCCACAGGCAGGTATTTCTTCCACTCAGCAGTTTGCATGTTGGAGCTATGGTTATTCAAAGGTTACAAAGTATCCTGGGATCTCTGCAGAGGCCCTTTCTGAGAAGAAAGCAGCTTCCCCAGGTCTTTCCCTGGATGTTGGGAAGACTTTCTTTGGCCCTGTTACCTTAGATAAGCCTGACTCCTTCTCCTGCCTCTGCTCACCCTTCGGTCTGTCTTCTGACCGTGTAGACCTGGTGTCCAGTGATGCTGTTTTGGAATCTAGCTAATTTGCGGCTGAACTGGATACCTAAACCTAAACACAAGCGCTGCTGGACCACTGTGAACATGATCACCTATGAGCATCACCCTATGAACACACATCACACAGTAGAAACACCATATATCACATGTACACTACACCACATCCACAAACACCGCTACGCACCCCGCACCACACACCCTACATTACACACACCATGCACACTACATTACACATACCATATACTACATATAGCACACATACTACCCTGTACACACCATATGCCACATACACTATATTACACACAGTACGTACTACACCATACATACCATATATTATACACACCACACACTATACACTATACACATGCGCCACATATTACACACTCCACATATGACACACACCATATCACCACATACTACACCGCATGCACACATATGATATACACACCATACCATACACAAAATGCATACATAGACCATACACACGAATACATATCATACTCATACAATGTCACACACACAACACACATACATTATAGCACATATATTACAACACACACACTCATACGCACAGCTCTCCAGGGCTCTGTTCAGGGCCTAGGGCCTATTCAGTTGCATAGGACCCCATACTCTGGAAAACCCAAGCTTAATTACCTGCTATTGTCATCCTGAAATTCTTAATTTTTGGACACCAAATTTTTACTTTGGGCTTAACCCACAACTGCTGTCACTGACAGCCAAGAGGGCGTGGAGAGCAGCTAACACTCTGAAACTTTCTTCCCAGTAGGCCTTGGGATGCCCAGAGGGGCCATGTGTCCTCTCAGCTGGACACAGCATGGTGTGGCCGGAGGGCTGGGGAGGGTATTTATGGGAGAGGCTGCTGGAGTGAAGGGTTGTCCCTACAAGAGGGGTAGCCCTGGGCACCGGAAGTGGAAGCTTCTGGCTGCACATTAGGAAAATGTTCTAGAGTTTTGCCCTGTGAGGCAACCAGACCACCCAAGGAAGCTGGGTGAAGCGGTGTCACCATGGAGACAGGGAACAGGTTTGATAAGAGGGAGGATGCTAGGAAACTGAGGGGCCCTGAGCAGCAGAACCACACTGAAGGGGGTGGGCACCTGGAGACGCTCCTCTAGGATCTGGCTGAGACCCAAGGACAAATGCAAACTGGTCTGTTTGAGTTTCCCCTATGGGAGGAAACTCCAGAGGCAGACAAGCTGTGTGGATTCTGCTGGGGTGTAGGTAAAAGGACACCCCACACTAGAGAAGAGGCTGGTGACACAGAGTCATTGTTCTACCTCCTGGGCTAAGGACTCCGGCTATCTCTACTGTTAGCTATGTTGGATTATTTTTATTGTATATATTTAAGGTATACAACTTGCTGATTTGGTACACATTCGCACTCTGAAATAACTACCACAGTCAAACTAATGAACATAGCCTCTCCTCCTCAGCCATGGTGTGTGTGTGTGTGTGAGTGTATAAGAGTGTATGTGAGTGTGTGTATGTGTGAGAGAGAGACAGATAGGCAGACATACAGAACGAGAGAAAGAGAAACAGACTCTGTCCTTGGGAAAGGGGCCCTTAGCGTGGTGAGAACCCATCCCCTGCCATGACTTTGTCCCATAGTTGGTTACCTCTTTAGTGGCAGAGCTTGGCGATGGTGCCCCTGTGGTTCTTCGTGCCCAGTCACTCAGTGAGCATGTGCTAAACCTCACAGCTGCCTTCAGCCTTTCCTCAGCACATTGAGTGTGTGACCCTGCCACTTTCTACCTCTAAGCTTCCATTCTCTCGCCTGTAAAATGGGATAGCAATAGTGTTAATACTCACCTAACAAGAGTCGTGATAGGAAGCTATCAGTGTTAACAATGTGAAACAGTGCTTAGTGAATACACCCTTAGTAATATCATAGTTATTTGA